TACTGCCATGTGCACATCAAATTTACTGACTTGCTTCCTCATGCATTTATCAAATTACTACCATGTGCACATCAAATTTACTTTAGAGACAAATGTCATTCATTGTTTATTTACATAATATTGAAACACTTTGAAATTTCCGAATCAAGGTTAGAGGGATACCGAAAGTGCTTACGATGTCACTACAAGAAATAAGGCTTTTCCCTAGGGAAAATTTCCTCGGGAAAAACTGAATATTTGTGGCCAACAGTTATCACCTAAGAAAAATTTGGTCACAGTGTTCATCGAAGCACGGCGGACACTGAATATATTTCTCGACAAACTTTTTGATTCCTTAGTAAAAGTTCACTTTTGCTGAGGAAATATTTCCTAGGCAAGAAGTTTACCTACACCTACAAAAATCACTATTACCCGACAAGGCACTTTTTTTTTTACTGAGGAAACTATTTCCTAGGCAAAAAATCATATCATTCGGATTATTGAAGCTTTTGTTCTGGGGAAAATAAGAGTAGTATTCACTGTACAAATTTTGCATAACTGGAGCATAATTTAATCCGAGTGCACCACAGTCATGTGAAAATAGAAAGGGTATTGAAGCTTCAGAATCAATAGCAGCTCTAGAATTTTTAGCTGACATTGTGTCATTGTCTAGGCATCAAGTAACATGACGCGAGCCAATATCCAATGTTGCATCAGTCAGCAAAGAGAATGAGACGGCAATTCAACTTCTCATATGCTATGGAGTTCAAAACAAAATGTTAGTATCGAGAATTAAAAACACAAAATCAATAGCAGTACTTACTATGAAATGTAAAAATAAAGGGAGTAACACAACACAGAGATCTACCAAAAAGAACAAGAAAAAATAAGAAAGCAACCAAAAGGAAGAGTGGAAGATACCCAAATTCCCATTCGGCACGAACATAAGGTCCAATGCAGAGGTGAACATACAACCCAACATTTTGCACCTTAATTATTAATGAAGCTATGGTATAAAGGCACATACGTACACCTTAATCAGATATGAAAGGCCTAGAAAAAGATGTTATGTTTAAGTTCTTTGTTTGTATCTCTTCTATACACTTTCTGTCTTTTAATGGACTATATCAATAGTAGCAAAAGATTCACTCTATATATTTCAGTCATACTTTAGCCTACCATATCTCCAAACATGAATGTATAGGATGAGTTTTGGAGAAAGATTGTGATCAACTAGCATAACAGAAAAAAAAAATTTGGCAAAAACTTCCTAATTCTCTAAATTGAATTAGTAATTAATTTTACTTCACTAACCACTCTTTCATCCTCTATCTGCCAATACCCAAATAGTGGCCAAGGCTTTTATCTCTCTCAATCGCACAAACACACACACAGAGAGATGTAACCTGTCTGCATCCGCAACACAATCAAGTGAGAAAGCAGAGCAATCAGAGCCTTAGAAGCATGAATTGTACTCACAAATAGCTNAAACACACACACACAGAGATGTAACCTGTCTGCATCCGCAACACAATCAAGTGAGAAAGCAGAGCAATCAGAGCCTTAGAAGCATGAATTGTACTCACAAATAGCTTTTCCATCAACAAGCAACCATCCAAATAGGCTCTCCCATGGCCTGAGCATGAGAGGGCTGCCGCAGCCTCAGCTTTTGCTGAAGCTTTCTGGCTCCAACTCAACTCCTTCCACTTCACACCCACATACAGATTTGTCGAAAATAAGATATTAAGAATGATAGAGGCCACTAAATATGGACCACAGCTGGAGCTTTCACTCCAAAGCAATATCATAAAATTTGTTCAAGACTTATGCAGCTGACCCATCAAAAAACTTTGATTACCTTGAACATCACATGCAAATCATTTGAAACTAAAGGGTAATTATATAAAATACCTCTACAAATCATCCTAGTCAGTCTGTATATAGGCCAACTCATTGCCTCAAGGTTGTTCTTCAGCATATAACAAACAAATTTCAATATGTGACAAATTCTTATAACTATGCATACAATTGAGATATTGACAATCCATTCGCATGAAATTCTTATAACTACTCACAACGTAATCTTATTTTTCTAAACATTTAATCATTCCCATTTTGGTAAAAATATAAGGGCATAACTGAGTAAGACAGGTTATATGGCAAACAAAAACCAAGTGCAGTAAACAACATCCACACAATCACAATTTATACAATTCATGATGAGTTGGTGACTGAAATGAATGAATTGACTCGATTAACACATGACACAAGCACTAATCAAACTATANCAATTTATACAATTCATGATGAGTTGGTGACTGAAATGAATGAATCGACTCGATTAACACATGACACAAGCACTAATCAAACTATATGAGCTAAATCAAACATCAACATACAATGTTGATAAATTGGTAGTGCCACAAAACAAGAAGTGGAGAAGCAGTAGTTGTTGATTTTGACACACTAAGACTGGAAGTGCCAAAAAATTAAGTAGATATTATAAGACCCGAACACGCATGAGAAACATATAATATTTGTAGCAAGCATATTCACATGTGATATGCATGTGTAGGATTGACAATCAATATTTAATTAAGAGTAATGATATGAGACTTGAACCCAAACGATGAATATTTTAATATTCAGAAATAAAGTATAAATAATGACTATAGGGAGAATTGTTTTATTTAAGTATGAAAAATTAAATAGGAATGTTGGCATATAATATGAATTTGTTATTTTATGTACGTTAGCGCATGTGGAATTAATTGGGTCGCAAGCATGTGACATCAATTTATTGTTATTAAAACAAAATGTGTTAGTATGTATAAGGAGAGGATTAAAGGTTCACAATATAAAAAAACAAAAAAAAGCATATCTGTGTATAAAATAAATTGAGAATAAGTTCTCACCTCTCACTCAGTCGCTCTTACTGTGGCAGCGATGAACAAAACCAGAGAAAGAGAAATAGAAAGAGAAAGAAAAAGAGAGAGAGAGGCGCGAAACGATAGAGTGAGAGAAAGAGACTGAGAGGGGGAGACTTTGGGTGGGCTGGACTGATCTGGTTCGTTGTATGTACAGGATCTACAAATTTTTTTGCAAATCCTTTCAATTTTTATTTTAGGGTTTGTTGATTTCTTCTACTTTGGTTTCTGCATCTTTGGGTCTGTAAATCTGAATGTGAAATTGGTCTTCTTCTCCTCTCCTTCTCTTTTTTATTGGTTTTTTACATTGATCTGTTGATGACTCGGTCCGACTCAAACAATTCGACTCCGATTTCAACTGATACCTTTGAGTCGTGACCGAGTCAACTCCGATTCGCTTGAGTCTTGTATTATTCGCGTACTGTGTAGCAGTATCGGATCGGTGATGGCTGAGGCGGATACGACTCGGCCGATACTCAGAACCTTGGGCAGAACCAAACGGTCGAAAAAACAACTTGGAAAGCCGAGGAAGTCATGCGAACCAATTATCCTCACTTGTTCCAGATTGGTAAGTACACTAATCCTTGTTTTATCTATGTATAAATGATTAATTATACGTGTGACTGTCTATCTTATGAGTCCTATAGTGAATCAATGGCTTAAGTGTCATAGTACTACGATGGAAAAGAGATGTCATCGTGACGGACTCCAATATTATGATTGAGTTGTCTGTGTGACATGTAAAAAGAAAAACTAAATGGATTGAGACGTCTAAGTATCGGATGTCTAAGTGAAGTAATTTGTTTGGATAGTCAAGACATCCAAGGGATGAAAACCAATTGTTAGAATAGATTGTCTATGTGACTAAATTAAAGCAAGTGTTCGAGTTTGTCTTTGTGACTGAGATAAGTTATGGTAGATTTTGTCTAAGTGGCGGGAACTGAAATTATTGTTGTGCCATGAGTTGTCTAGAAGACGAATAAAAAGATAAATGTTTTCGTTTGAGTTGTCTAAGTAACAAACTTATATCGATATGATGATAAGTTGTGTTGAGTTTTGTTGCCTAGGTGGCGAGACAGTTATCTCTATGTGAGATTGTAGGGCAACAGAATAGGTTATTGGGAATAAATTATGGAATCGTGAATAATAGATTCCTATCGATGAGCAAGGGTGTCTCATTACTTTCTTTGCTCTATTTTCTGAAATATTTAATGTGTACTCATTGAAGAATTTCCTTGAAAATCTTTTTAGGTAAATTGTACACAAGCTTGCAGTCCACTGCCGAAACTAGAAGTCCAGTCAAGAGTTGTTGGGGGAGGACTCATGTCAATTTCTGGTATTTTTTTTTTAAAAATCTTTTGGGTTGTATATAATGTAAATATCTTTGTTCTCCCTTTTTGCTGAGTAAGCAACACTTTAAAAATAGTTTTTGTGTTATGTAAATATTGCATGGTAGTGAGTCGAAGTGCCGCACGCGTGTGACTTTTATTAAAAAGTGATCCAAAGTTAAATATTTTTAGGATGGGTTTTTCTTTTAATACAATAGACACATTAACAGCATGATTGCCTACGTAAAGTGGTTGCCTAAATTTTATTTCTCAATATTAGTATAGTGGGATTGGGTGTTACGGATATTAAGCTTCAAATCAAGTCCATAAGATAAAAATTAAGGGCTTGATCTAACAGATCAACAAAAATGGTNGGAGTGCCGCACGCGTGTGACTTTTATTAAAAAGTGATCCAAAGTAAAATATTTTTAGGATGGGTTTTTCTTTTAATACAATAGACACATTAACAGCATTATTGCCTACGTAAAGTGGTTGCCTAAATTTTATTTCTCAATATTAGTATAGTGGGATTGGGTGTTACGGATATTAAGCTTCACATCAAGTCCATAAGATAAAAATTAAGGGCTTGATCTAACAGATCAACAAAAATGGTCGTCGGATACAATAACCTTGGGTTTAACCCTATAAATTAAATGAAGCTGGGATGAGAGAGAGAGAGAGCGTGTGTGTGTACAAGTCGTGATGGCGCCATGAACAACAATGTTGTTCTTCAATTCAATTGAGACGGTCTTCTTGTTCAATTTCATCAAAATCCTACAAAACAAAAATGTCATAAAAAATGTGATTACTATTGGAAACAAATAGTAAACAAATTCATTCTAATCAAATGCACAACGTTTGTCTTGTTGTTCAATTTCATCACAATCTTACAAAACAAAATTGTCAAAAAATATATGATTTCTACTGAGATTATTGATGGCAGACAAATCGAAGGTTGAAGAAGAGGATCTTTAAAGATCTGTTGGAGAGAAATCGAACGTTAAAACTTACAATTCTATGCCCTAGAGGATTTATTAAGACAGATGATTGATGGTAGAGAGATTGTTGTTGAAGAAGACAATCTCTGAAGAAGACGATGTTCTGACCATCAAAAGGAAAATTTTGCGGACGAATCGAGAAGCCACCGATGGCTTAGGGTAAATGTAGATGTTGAAACAATGTAGTTTCAATTCATCAACTTTCACCTAAGAAAGAATTTCGTCAGTGACTCTCAAATAAATTTTTTTTAAGTTTTACTGACAAATTATTTTGTAGCCAAACTTGAAAAAAATTATTCAAAAAAAAAAAGTAAAATTAATTTATTTTATTAGCTACGAATTTTTTTTCGATTAAATTAAAGTACTTTTCTTATTTTCCTTGGTGAGGTGTGGGTGGGCATGTATATATTATTTGCCCCAAAAAATTTTAATTTTTTACCTACAAAATATATTTCCTAGTTAAAAATTTTGTAGGAAAAACTTGTTTTTGTTGTAGTGCGCAACCATTCAGTTGCTCTGCTCGGTAGCAATTTGATTCAAATGAGCCAAATGCAAATCCTCTCAACAATTAAACGTTTTACCTGTTACCATTGTAATTTCCGAATCTTACATAATGCCAGATCTTTTGGTAATTAGGGAAATTAGGACTCAGCGACACCCAACAAATAACTTCAGCATCCAAACACAAAAAGGATTTCCTATTTCCACCAACTCGTAGTCCTATACTCCTATTAGTATCTACTAGAGAACAAACTAGTGAATTTGGACTCAACATACTACAAGGGCTAATGACGGGAAAAGTGGTGAGTCTAGTAAGTCATCATCATCCCAAATTTTAGTTTTCCTCCATCTCCAACTTTGCAAATGGTACCTTATTCCATGCTTGCTTGCCCAGAGGAGGATTCTCCAAGGAAGGGTTGGACCCTAGCCAAGCATCCATCACTGAATATTGGGCGATGTTCAGCTGGTGGTGTGGTGTGGGGAGCTACTTTTGGGGTTGATATCGACCGGCTGCCCCTGGAAAAAGAAAGGGGGGTCGGGGAGTTGCTGTTTTGTTTCTTTATATGATATTTTTAATTTTCATATGTTTTTACGTTTTCATTTTAAGACAGATAAAATAGATATTTTAGAAAAAAAATAGATCGCATCCGCAAAATTCAATTGGTTAATTACCAGGTTGAGTCAACTATTACTTATCATCAAGCTTTAAAGGTCAGATTATAGTTTCTAAAACTAGGGAAGATGGATGGTAATTATGCTTTATCTCAAGCATGGATTATTTAATTTAACAAAAAAAAAAAAGAGAGAGAATAGGACTACAAGGTAATAAGTGTACAACTAATTAAAAGGCACAGTCAAAAAAAAAAACTAATTAAATGCTAAAAATAGGAACTCAATGCTCGACAGTGAAAGTATTTTCTATTACCAAAATAAGAACAATGATTGTCAGCCTCTAGTTTTGNACTAATTAAATGCTAAAAATAGGAACTCAATGCTCGATGGTGAAAGTATTTTCTATTACCAAAATAAGAACAATGATTGTCAGCCTCTAGTTTTGGCCTTCCAGTCCTCAAATCTAGCAATCTGTTTTCAATACCAATAGAGATCAAAGAAAATCAGAAAAAAATACCATTTCATATGCAATCTCTATTGTCTAGTACAATCAACCAAAGCAATCCGGTACAACCGGTTTTGAACATTGTATTCCTTGAAAAGAGAAGCAAAAATAAGAAACAGAGCAAGACATTCTTATATTTATTTATTTTGTTAAAATCACAGCCATGGGAAGAAAAGTTCCTACAGGCGAAAATCAGTCAATCCATCCAGTGCTATTATTGTCCCTAATCATGGCCTGTATTGCTGCCACAATTGCCATAGTTTCATCCCTCTGTGGTTCTTTATCGCGAAAAAAATCGCCTCCCTCGTCAGCTGCAAGAAATAAAACAGCAGAAAATTCGGATGTCATTATTCCAACGCCAGATGACGCAACGAGATCAACAATAGCAGCAGTCGAGTTAGGGGAAACCGCAGACACGGCTCAACAACAAAACACTGAATTGCAACAACCACTGCCTCCTCCACCGGGCATGCACCATATGAGGGCAGCTTCTTACCACCACTGGACCGATTCAACAACATCACAGGGGAAGCTATCCTCAAGCATGAGCATGAGGGTGCTAGGAAGTGGGATGACATCAAGACAATCATCTCGAAGAGAGGACAATGATAAAAAGCGAGAGAAAAAATTGAAGCACGAAGACTCAATTTGGAAAAAGACAATCATATTAGGGGAAAAATGTAAAGTCCCAGATGAAGACGACACAATAGTTTATGATGAAAAGGGAAATAAAATCGAGACGTATCATCCAAAGACTCCTAGTTCATTGCCACTGTCCCGGCAAACCTCATTCCTTGACCCAAATGCAATTCCAAGATGAGAGGGCTGAAAAAAAAATATACAAGTAGAAAAAAACATCATTCCCCAAAGCATTTGTATCATCTTGAGGGTGGGTATCATACTTTAATGAGGAATGCTATATCCTCATGATACAGAAATATTTCATTTTCCCCAAAAATATGCATTGTGTCTGTCCAAAACACAAGCATTGTCAACAGCAAGTGAAAACTGAAAGGATCATCGGGAAGAATTTGACGATGTTTTATTGCTAAAAGTGCTTACACAATAGATAAAATAGATGCTCTTCCATAGTTCTGAAAAACACCCTTGACGTATCGATGTAATGGATAGAATGAAATTCACGCAAGTAACGGCCATTATCGGGTCGCAACGGGTCCGTTACGGCTGTTATTAGGTTGTAACAGGTCGACCCGTGCCAATTTTTGTCTATTTTCCGATTTTTCTCAAAAATCAAAATAATTCTGAAAAAAAACCAAAAATTGCAAGCTTTGCTGAGATAAATTGGCCACGATTTTCATCCACATCAATTAGTTTGGTAAACAAAAATCTCACAAAATCGATGAAAGCTCACCAATAGATATCGGTAGCACGCTCTTTTTCGGCAGCAAAAATCTCTCCGGCTGGCATTTCGAAGTCTATTCGCCATGGGCACCATGCATTGGCCACAAACCTCCATTATTTCATGGAGTTTACAGACGAGGAAGATGGTTTTTTCCACAGTTCTTTCTTCCTTCTAGTTCAGTTCATCGGCTGCAGCTTATTGGTGCCGAACAGTGGGTATAGACACCGAGAGAGAAAGAGAAGCATGAATAAAACAATATGTTGCACTTATGTGCAAAACACCATTACAAATAAGGGTTTTGGTGTGAAACGATGACCCTGCCACCTGACCCGAGTGACAGTTGCACAATTGGAGAAAGAAACTTACATGCTGTATAGACTCTACTGTTCATCAGTTCTTTTGTAAAAATGTATGGGCCGGGACCTCGGTTCCTAGGAAAGGTGGGTCTAGACTGATCCAATGGAATAAAACAATTTTTTTTAGTTTTTTATTTTTATTATGTCAATATTTTCTTTTTTCTTCGCCTAAAATTATTATAAAACTATATCATGTTTAAATTATGATATAAATTAAACTTTTTTATGATCTAAAGTACCTTAAATGACACAATAAAATAAACTATAAACTACTAAAAACACATATCTAAACAATTTTGAAGTTAAAACATACATAAATTCACTTTTTCAGGCGAGTTGTGAATAGAAAATAAAAATTCACAACTCCAATTTTTCATTACTGTTATATAACACCCGTTTCTGTTGTAACGTTATTGTTACTGTTACAGCAGTCATTACCATAATTCAAAACCATGTGCTCTTCTACTTTTCTTTTGATTTTTTTTTCATTTCATCATCCTCCTCTCCCCTTTTTTATTTCTTTTCCTGTATTATGAAGTGTGATTGGGAGGAGTTGGGGGAGGGAGGGAATTGTGGTGTACAGGCACTATAAGGGAAATTTGACAAAGAACTCAACCACTGCTTGCCCTCTAAAGGGTTGTATTTTCGGAAGTGCTCCCAAACGTAAGAGAAAAGTATCGTGTAGTAACTTGAACAGAAGTCCAAGGTTGTCTCCTCAGAGAAAGATTTGGNAACCACTGCTTGCCCTCTAAAGGGTTGTATTTTCGGAAGTGCTCCCAAACGTAAGAGAAAAATATCGTGTAGTAACTTGAACAGAAGTCCAAGGTTGTCTCCTCAGAGAAAGATTTGGAATCCAAGGTGATGGGAAAAAAAGGAAAAATTCTTTGAAATTCAAGAGTTTGGAACTTAATTACTAATAAAAATGAAATTATATAGTTAGAAAAACTAGATAATCTTCAAAATTCATCCTACCTATGAACACAAATTCTTACTATAAATCACTAACTCATTTGTTTTCGTATTCAAACTAGTATAGACGGATGATTTTCAACTTCAACCTTTGGAAAGAATCAAAAGTAGCAACTAGAAATAATATATGATGAAAGAATCAATATCCTAAAGATTGTATAAAACACCACTAACTATCTATATCAAAACTAATTGTATATACATAATTGGGAAGTATGCAAACCAAGTAGGTTTTGGAAAGCATAACTCATTCAACAATCACATAAACATTAAAACCCTAGTTTATAGGTTGGGACACCTTCTTTAGATTATCCAGAGATAGACTACTCATTCATGATAACGTAAACAACACAAGATATTAAAGAAGAATTAATTCGATTCAGAAAAGTAAAGATTGACTTAAAAGTAAATGCTTGTATTGAAATATTGAATTCAAATAACAAAGCTTAGAATATTGAAGACAAATGAATTTATGATTGCTAGAACGATTGAAAGAATAGAATACAAAAGAAAGAACAACAACAAGGCTCTGAATTACCCTAACACTCTCTAAACGTAGAAAAACAGAGAAAATTAGGGAAAATCTCAAAAAAAATGTAATATATGTATTCTCCATAAGGTCTTCTATTTTTCTGGTAGGAAGGAGAATCTTCAGATCTTTGACACATATCCATCCCAAAATTATCTCCTCCTTTGATTGATTGAAAATCCTCAAAAGATTTGGCAAAATTTGATCTTTAATTGAGTTTCCCGTGAAAATCTGCTTTTACTTACCGGTAGCAACTCCTTCTGTAGCATGACCTATTAGTAGAATAATGAAACCTACCGATAGAACTTTGTTATGATAAAATCTCTAAAACTTCTGTGACTTTTCTTACTGGTAGAACATTCTTCACCTATCAGTAGGACTTCTTCTGACAAAGTACTGGGACATTTCCTACTAGTATAACATCTACCATCTATTGGTAGGACTTCTCTGATGACAAAATGTATAAACTTCTGTAAGTTTTCCTACTGGTAGCAACTCCTTTTGTAGCACGACCTACCAAAAGAATAATGGAACCTACTAACAGAACTTTGTTATGATAAAATCTCTAAAATTTATGTGGGTTTTCTTACTAATAGAACACCATTCACTTATCAGTAGGACTTCTTCTGACAAAGAACTGGGACATTTCCTACTGTATAACATCTACCATCTACCGGTAGGACTTCTCGGATGACAAAATGTATAAACTTTTGTAAGTTTTTCTACTGGTAGAACATCCTTCGCCTACCATTAGCACTTCTACACAAATCTTATGTACTTCAAGCTATTGGTAGAACTGACTTACTACCGGTAGAACCTTCATTTTTCTGTCTTTCTACCGGTAGAACTTCTCTTTTCTTCCAAAATAACTTCCAAGGCTCCCAGCTTCATCTTCTCTCAAGAAAACTCAATCTCAACTTGTCCCTTGCCAGTCCACCAATGTGTAATCTCCACCTTTACACCTAAACTACCTGCAAACATAGAAATCAAAGCATAAGATGCAATACACAGTAAGTGAAGCAAGTTAGTTTGTTAGCAAGCCTAAAGTGCATATGTTAAGCTATAAAATGACACAATATTGAGCACTCAACACACCCCCCAACTAAGGCTATGCTAGTCCCTAGCAAACATCGAAACATCGAAACGAGTAAAACAAATTTTCAAACATCCATGGCTAAAATAACATAACCCAAGGGNTTAGGCTATGCTAGTCCCTAGCAAACATCAAAACTAAGAAACGAGTAAAACAAATTTTCAAACATCCATGGCTAAAATAACATAACCCAAGGGATCAAATCACAAAGCATAAATTAAAAAGAACACAAAGCACATAAGATCTAAAAGATATATTCATTCATAATGTCATCATCTTTTATAGACTAACTCCAAAAAAGAAATAAAACCTAACCTCCTAAAGATTTTTCTACCTAGGCCTTAATCAAAACAACTACTCCAAAGAAAACACCTAAGGTTCTACTACACCCTATATACTAACTCTCACAAAAAGGTAACTTTTAAATTCTATCACTTTGATTTAGAAGTAAGGACATCCCTCAGATTAAGCTTCGTCTCCATCCGACCCAGAACCATCATTCTCACTCTTAGAATCAGGGATCATTTCTTCCATCACCTTTGAGTGTACAAAGGCAAAGAGAAGCCAAACCAGAGACTTGCAACCCAAGGATTTGAGGATGAAGTCTTCCTAAGCATAGTAGGTATGCCATTCTTCTCTTCATCGTCCGACTCTGCCCTCTTCCTCTTGCCCTTCTCCCTAGCAAATGTCCGACCTGAAGGGGTAGCCCAACATTAGTTATTTGACTTGACCTTGTTCTTGGAATCTTTGCCACAACCATAGAAACTATGGCAACCACAAGGACCCAAGCTACTAGGATAGACCCATAGCTTTTGTAAGAAAAATCAGTTTGGGAAAGAATTTTCCTATCAGCCATTCTTGAAATTTAAGATTAATAAGAGAATCAAGCTGAAATTGGAGAGATTTGAGGCAACAAAGGACTTGAACAAGTTTTTCTAAGGTTTTCTAGAAAGAAAGAGAAGTATTTATAGTGAAGTTGTAAAGAAAACCCTTGGAATTCCCACATAAACCGTTATTTACCGCCTCAAATTCAAAACCTACGAGTAGGTGATACACGACTTACAGGTAGAACAACTCCCTGCTCAGAGCCTACTGATAGTAAATATACATTCTATCAGTAGAACTCCAAAACTCTTGAAAAATTCCTATTTTCTGCTTCTTTTTAAATTTTTTTCTTCTTTTTCTTTTAACTAATCCTAAACTTAACTAATATCTAACCTAACATCAGAAATAAAAACCAATGATCTAATTCATGCCAAATTCCTAAAAAATTTATGCAA